AGCACAGAAGTTCCCAAAGATGAATGGGGAACATTGAAATGTTTGTGCTTCCTCAGCAGGAAAATTATAGTCTTGTGCCAGGGGCCAGCTCAGGGGCTACCTAAGCATTTCTTAGGACCCTGGGGGAAAAGAGCTGAAAAAGCAGCTTATTCTCTACGTCCTGCAGGGTCTTTACCTGCTGTTAACAAGTCCTGGTGGGAGGTGGGCGGAAGGTATCCCCCACCACATTGTTTCCTTCATGGAAATTGTAGCTGTATCTTCCAGCAGAGTTTCATTGCTGCAAAGAAAAACAGTAGAAAAAAAATCCATCATCAGAGTGTGCAGAAGACATAATTTCTGCTTCAAAACATTTTTTTAATTTAAAATATCTTCTTCCAACTTGGGGTGCTTCAAAATGCACCATGTGTTGTCTCATCACTGCTGAGATATTTTCTTGTGCCTTCAGAATTTTTGTTTTCTTGTCGTTCTCGCATTCTCATTCCAGTAGGTATGTACTGTACCACAGCAGTGCCTGAAGAGCTGTTTATACAATGTGAGCAAAAACCTACTGCAAAGAATAGGCAGCTTTAGAAGTAAATAAGAAAACAGAGAGGAGACTATAAAGTTTTTTCTAGGTATTTAGATGAGGCAGAATCCATGCATGTGGTCACAGAGGAGGAGTGAAAGGTTGGACATAATGATTCAGTAAAGTGTCAAAAATCACACTTAGGCTTCCCAGAGAAGTGATATTATTCACAAGGAGATCCTGACCTGCTTGCAACCCCCTTCATGCTGTTTCCTGGAGGTCACCTTCTCCTGCTCAGGGATTCCATCAAAAACACAAGTAGGGGAGAGGATGAAGTACCTCCTTTAAGTCCTTCACTTGCACCAAGAAAAAGCTTTAATGAGAGCAATAAAAATTGCATGGATATGCTTCTCTCCTTCTTTTCCAGTAACTACACTACTCCTAACAGTGTGGAGTATCATAAAATATTTTGTATAACAAAGGAACACAAATGATGGAAGCATAGACTGCTAGACAAAGCAGTCTTATTGCTAGTTCTACCTTTTTTTCCCTTAAAACTCTAGCTCTGATAGCTGTGATTGCAATGCTGTGTAGATTTTCAGATACTGAATTTCCATATCTCAAAGACTTGTCTTCTTTTTGCCTGCTCACTGCAAGGTTTTCTTCCTTCTGTATAAATGGAGATTTGTGAGCTGTGGGTTAGAATCTATCATGGAAAGAAATGCTCTGGGAAGGAAGTAGCTAACTGTACTTTTTGTGCCTTTTAAGGACACAGGTTGTTATGTGCCAGAGAAAAGGAACCAGTGAGTAAACAAAAAGGAAGAAACAAAATAGTAAGACCTTCTGCATTCCAGACTATGACAAATATGACTGCAAAGCCAAAGGCCATTGTGTAGCCTAAATACATGCCAAAACAATCAGTCACTTTAATGGCCTCATACTGGTATTATTGGCTTGAAGAATCCCTATTAATAAAGGGGTTTGCATAGGAACTGATAGCAAGGTGCATTTTTTAACAGATATCTACTGGAACATTCCTTTAAACAAAGTTTGACAAAATATACTATATTTAGACTTGTACTTTTCCACTGTCAAGATGTTACATCTCAAAACTCGGCAGAATGTCCTCAGGGAGATACACATTTCTGTATTCTGTGAGAAGGCAAGAAAAGGTGTGGCTGGCACAAATCTTGGTCAAATGCTTTCTTTAATTCTTCTACTGCATGCTGGGATAGCTCTTCAAACTAAGAAGTAGACAATGTTTCTCTTCCACTTTTCTCTTGATTAACCCCCAGCTGCCCAGGGTACTAACCAGTTTATTAAAAGTTGGAAATAAGATATTGGAGTGGAATAAGAGAAGCAAAGTTCAGGACTTGCAGCAGCACCACAGGAGTTCTGCTGTAAAATCTCGTTGACCCCATTCAGTGCTTTTCATCTCTCTCTGTGCTCTTCAAGCAAACCCCCTCTTGACCCAGAAACAGAGCTGAGTTAAGAATATGACCCAAGTAGCCAGAAGAAATTGGCTCAGAGCATCTTTCACATTTTTGACTATGCCCCTTCACTAGAGTCGTATGCCTTGAACTCAAGCTGTTATACCAGGGCCATCAAATACTTCTGTACTGAAGCATTCTTGCATGAGACTGCCCTGTGGAGAAATTTCCAGGATATGATTTATAAGGCTAACACCAGAGATTGTACCTTCTTAGAGGTCAGTAATGCAAGATTTGTTCATGTACATATAAGGAATTCATCCAGGGTATGTGACTCATGGTACTGTGTCCTGTTTTTGGAAAATCATGTCATGATACTTTGGCCTTTCTGCAGGAAATCATATCAGATGTGGAAAATAACTGCTTTCTTCACTTTTAAATTTTGTCCTGCAGAACAATAGCTGTGGGTTGTAATGGAAGATACAGCCTTAAATGTTCACGCCCTTGGCCACAGGACTTCACTTCTTGTGAGTGGAACAGTTCTTAGCTTCCTCCCACCAGTATCCACCCTGAAGGATACAGTACACAGTCCTTGATAGTAAAAGGAATCAAGTGAGACCAAGTGTTTAAGAAAAGAAGCCTCTAAAGATGCTATTTTATACTATGCTAATACACAATTTGGTGTCTCCTCAATGCAGCTTCAGGCACTTTAGTGTCTATCTTTAACATCAGCTGTGTAAAACTATAAATTAAACTATATGAAGCATATAAAACTATTTGAAGTATTTAGCACTGTAACTCGAGAAACAGCTGTACTTCATGCACAACATCTAGCATAATATGTCCTTGAGAAAACTGGGTGAGTCAGGCAGTTTATTACTGTTTTCTAGCAATGCTCTTTTAATTCATTACTATATTTTGAAAGGTAATGTTTTTTGAAGGGATTGTTCATACACTTTCTTTCAAACATTTTGTATAGTGTTTATGCAAATAATAAGATTTCCAAGTAGACAATACATGTTTATTATCATATGTGAAAGCACTTTGTCATTTACAGTTTTCTGCTGTTTCCTTGCTGTGATATTTTGATCAGTTATTAGAGAAACCAAGCATTTTCTCCCTACATCTCCAAGAACTCATTCTCAACTTGTGCAATGCCCTCTTTTCACTAAGTGCACCATACTTTTTGTTACGTAACCAGCCCTGAAAACTTCATTTAGAGATGTACAATAGCATTAGTAAAAACATATCCTGTGTTTTATATAAATAAAACCACGAAAGAGGAGAAAGAAAAAGGGGCATCACAGGAATTTAAGGTACTGAAGTACAGCAGAATCAATTTCTTTCTACTCTGCTGCAAGTAATGAAGTGGCTCACAGGATCCTTCAACTTTAAGTAATGGAAGGAGAATCTATTGCACTTACTGATAACTGTTCACTGAAATTCAGGGGATTTTTCCCTCCTAATAACTTTATGATCTGTAACAGGGAGTAAATGTGAAGTATTTCAAGTATTTTTGGGTGAGATCACACATCATCTTTCAGTATGAAAGAAACTAAGAAGACTGTCATCTGAAAATGGCTTGGAGATCATCCCTATGGATCTATTTGCACTTAACCTTAGACTAATATTTGTATTTTCTTCTTGAAGCATGAGTTCCGGAAAACAAAAGGCAAAGTGCTTACAAACCAAGCACTTCCAGACAGTGGAGATCTGTCTGAAGATCTGTTATCAAAGAAATACAACTCTGCATTACATATGTAAATGGCAATAAAATATTTTTTATGAAGTGTGTTTTGTGTCGCTGACTGGCCAGCGTGGTTGTGCTTTCATTGGCACATAACTTCCACAAGATTCTGTTTGACATCAAGGCTGAAAAAGTGTTGGAAGATCAGTTCATTTAATGGGCAGTGTCAGAATTTAGTGGTACTAACATCTGACTGTATGAAAGTTTTTATTAAGAAAATGGAAAAATTAATATTGGGGAGGAAAGGACAATATTGCTTGCAATAAAACAAACAATAGCTCCTCTGCTTTTTAATGTTTATGAGAATTCTTTACGCTCAAATAATGCAAGATGCCTTTGTAAAATGCACGAGTCATGGCAGACCACAAAATTTAGCAATATTTTCCTATCTGCAATATGCTATGGCAATCTGCCCTCAAAAGTCCAATTACCTCTTTCAAAAGACTTGTGTGATTGTGCAAGCTGCACACAATTTATTCCTAATTCTTTTTCTTCAGGGTAATAATGCTGATACTTGAAGAAGGTTCTTGTTGTAAAATCAAATGGAAAATCATTTAAACAGTCAAAACACTGCTGTGGATATCAAACATGTGTGATACACTGTGTTTCCCAGGATATAATATTGCCTAGACTAAGCACCCAGTGATGCTGGTTTGTTGACTGAGACAGCATTGTCCTGATTCAGACCAATTTACAAAAAGGAAACACAGCTTCTACATCCAGACCATTTGGTCATAATGTGTCACAGGTAGCACTTTGTTATGATGAACATACACCATTATAGTGCTCCTGAAATCCCTATTTATATCACCACTAGAGGCTTACCCTGCTTTGCTATTCATGCAGTAAAAATCTGCCAAACCACTCCTCCGAGGCCCTGCAGCACTTTAAAGCTTGTTTTGCAGGCTTTCATGCAGGAGAGGTGGGGAATGTTCATGGCACAAGCAAATCCTTATGTCATCCAGTGAGTAACTTTGGAAAGTGAATGCTATAGCTAGCTCATGCTCCCTTGTCATCACGCCTCTTAAAAGTAATATTACATGTTAAGACTATTGAGAAATAGTGAACTTTAATGTGCCGTCTCAAAGTTCTAATTGACCTCAACATTTTGATCACATAAGTAAACACTGTATGCATAAGAAAATTTATAAAATGAGACTATCTTGTTTTCTACCTGCTAGCTTCAAAATGTAAAGGCAAAACATTAGTCTTCACAGAAAGGCCAATACTATCCAGCTTAAAATTTACTACACACCTCATTTGAAAGACTGTTTTTCTGTGAATTATAAATTATTAAAAAAATGCTTCTAGAAGATTATTGCTCAAAATAAAATATTTAATTCTAGAAATGGTGTTTAGTTTGATGTCCTTATGCAGAGAATGCTGAATACAAATTACACAGTAAAAAGCCTAGAAATCTTATGATACTGAGGTTAAAATAATGTTTTTAGAGGGGAATGCTTTAATTTAAAAATTACTCATTTCATGCAACTTAAAAATGAGCATCATATGAAAACAAATGGTGTATATTTATTTATTAAGGCTTACTGAGTTTCATAAAAACCAAGAAAATAAAATTCCTTTTAAAAAGCACAAAGTACAATGGTCAAATAAAGAATTATATACAAAATTGAATAATCAGGTAGAATATTCTTGATCCAGAGGACATGGGAAGCATGGAGGATATGAAGAATGAAAAATATTTGTAGGTGGGTAGATATTATGCACCTACTAATTCACACCTGTGATGCCTACATTCACCTTTGAAGCAAAATCATTTAATCAAAAAGGATTTCAGCATCAGGAAGCTATGACTTCAGTCTGCAGAAATCTGTTTAAATGATGAATTGTCTGGTCCACTGGCTTGTTTTATATCTACATATTTTATTCAGCTGAGTACAATCTCCACGCCAAACAAATCCAAATTGTCTGCCTTCCTTCACTTTTCCTAAAAGTATTGACAGTCATAATAATGATATTATTTATTAAAATACTATTTCTGATAATTCAGTATTTGATTCCTGTAGTCTCCAGTAGAATGAAAAGCTAATTCTGGGCTGTTACTCCGATTGCGTTATTGAACTATGAGAAAGATGCTCTAAAAGAGCAGCCAGCACACTCTGTGTTATCCCATACTGCCCCATCAGTAATAAGAGAGAAATGTAGGAGCATCAAGACAGGTAAGGTAAAAGGTATCTTCTACCAGGTGATACAGGTAGTAGTTGACTCAAACTGGTAGAAAATAAATTATAGTTCCTAGGTAATTTATCAAAGTCTTGGGCAGTCAGAACACCTGAGCATTGGAAGTTTAAATCACAAATGATCATAGCTCCATGGTACAGTCCTCAGGTTCCTCTTCATTTTGGTATGGAACAGAACTTTCAGGGAAAAAGTTATGGTCACACTCCAAGTCTCTGTGCTTTGCTAAAGAAAGCAAAGTAACAGCTCCCAGTGCCTTGTGCAACAATAGGAAGAAAGCCATCCCTCTGAATATGTTTTAAAATTATTTTAGCTCAATCTTGCATCTTTTTCAAGTAGGAATTTTGTACCATATTAGAGGAATGACTCTGACATGTTTTAAGACTTTGGGAAACAAATCTTGAGTATTGCTGCTTTATTTTGGTACAGTATCATTCTGTTTGGTAGGTCATATGTGAATAGACCATTATACTTGATGATAAACTGTTTCCAGCTTGCCTTTTTTTAAATGAAATATGCATATTGGGTTACAAGCTTTTCTCAGTACCCCTTCCTTCTGTAGGCACTAAATCTCTTAATTGTAACAGATTTTCCAGTCCTGACAATAATTTTGCATGACAGTAAAAAATATTATTTGGGATTAAAAAAAACCATTAAATATAATCTCTTTTCCTAAAGGCTTTGAATTCTGAAGATTAGCTTTAATTTCTGAAAACCAAAGAATCGCTTATCCTATGTATGCACATTGAAAACAGTGTTATGAAACTCCTGTGCCAACTATTTGTGTTACAGAGTGCGAAGCAGCATCTGTGGAGTCAGGGCATGAGCAGGCTCCTCTCCCTGCCTGCCAGCAAGCTTGGCAGTGCAGCTGCACCAGCACAGAGGGATATTTGTGTGCTAAGTCTAAACCTGCTATAGGATACATTCCCTGCCCTTCCAAGATCACAGCTGGCTTCTCAGGGCAGTCCACAGCCACTATAATATAATATAATACACCCAGGCTATTTGGCAAAATCTCCTGGTTTTCCTTCAATGCTTTCTTTTTTTTAAACATTTGTTTCCCTGTGTAGAGTACAACTTCAGAGCCCTTAAGATTTAGATATCTGAGAATGTTCTGAAGTCTATTTGGATTCTTTTCCAGAAACACTTTATGTTCATGACTCCTCTTAAAACTAAGTTATAAACACTGGTACTTGGTGAGATTTCTAGTTTGCTGGATAAGGCAACTGAGGTGGAAGAGACACACCATCTTGTACTGACTTCAGGAGATTTAAAAAGAGAGGAAAATTAAAGCAAAATAATATGTTTTCTCTCTCTCTGCTTCAACATCCATAGCAATTGAGTCCCCAGAACTGATCTTCTGAGCTTCCTCCATCTGCAGAGGTCAGTCCCTCCAGACTGCAAGTGGCCCAAGGGAAACACTTGCCAAGAACTTCTCCTGGTTCCAGAGAAGGGTTGCAGGGTGGTGTCATGGCAAGCCCTTGCATCAGACTGGCTGGGCAGGGTGAGGTGGTGTTTTACTCATGTCCAGTTTAGTGTCCTATTTCCACAGCAGCCAGCAGCAGCTGGTAATTAGGGAAAGAATATAGAAGAGGTCAAGTATGAAAGAACATTTTGCTGATATTTCCTCTGAGCTTTAGGCAGTCTGTGGCACAGGGACTTCCAGAAACCAGTTTGCATTTGCATTCTTTTGCTTATTGGGTCTTGAAGGGCTTTCTATGAATTTTTCCAATCACTTTCTGAACTATTCATAGTTTTGTCATATACAACATCCTGTGGTAATGAATTCTGTGATTTAGTTATGTTGTGTAACAAAATGTTTGCTTTTATAAAAATCTTCATAGTAATTTCATTAGGAGCCCCTACTTCTCTTATAACAAGAAATGTGAATAGTTTGATCTGTTTTCTGCTTACCTACATTCTATTATTTTCTCTGCTTTCCTAGAAAGCTTTTCTCAGTACGTTTTCTGAGTACATTACATCTTTTTTGAGACAGTGTGACCAGCAGTTCAATCTATATTCATTTGAAGAATTTACAGTATAGTGTAACTATTTTTTTCTAATAATTCATATTTATTTTGCCTTTTTGATGTCTATTGACTGACACTTTCATATATCTCTACTGGACAGCCCACATAAAGCTCATCACTGTGCATGTATAAACATAGGCACATGGAGGAAAACTTGTCTTTATCCAGAATTTATCAACAATGAATTTCATTTGCTGCTTATGTTTTGTACTATGAATGAATTTATAACTTTTTTCAGCATATTTTACTTTTCTACATAATTTACCATCAGCAAACTCCATCACCTTGTTATTCTCTCCTTAGCCTAATGTTGTAAGTTCAAAAACATGCATCTCTGTTGGGCTGCATTGAGAAACTTTCTTCCTCTGCTGTGAAGTCTGGGCTCTTACTTACATGCTTTAAAGGATATTAAATGACAAGCCATCTCATCCTACAACAGCTTCATTTCCTTGCTGCAGGACTTTGTAAAAAGCTTCCTGAAAGTACAAGTACACTGCTATCAACAGATTATTCTTATCCACATGATTATTGAATCCTATACAGAACTACAGATTTGTCAACTATGATTAAAACAGTTGTTGATTTTTGTTGTTCTACTTATCCAGATGCCTTTTAACTTTATTATTAAAATGTAATTTCTTCATGAAGTCTTGAGTAACACCAGAGGTACTTGGATACCATAGAGTCCATCAAAGCTTTCTGTGCAAAAAACCAAAACAAAAAGGAAAGTTACTGAGGCTATAAAGCAAGTCTAAAGTATTAAAAGGTTGTGGTGCTGGGTTTTTTTCAGAATTGCTTTAGTGATCCTGTCCTGGCTTCAGATAGGACAGAGCTCATTTTCTTCTTAGTAGCTGGTATGGTGCTGTGTTTTGGATTCAGGATGAGAATAATGTTGATGACACACTGATGTTTTCGTTGTTGCTGAACAGTGCTTACTTGAGTCAAGGACTTTTCACTATCCCACCAGTGCTCCACCAGTGAGGAGGTGCAGAAAAACTGGAAGGGACCGCAGCCAGGGCCACTGACCTAAACTGGCCAGAGGGATGTTCCATCCCATAGAATGTCATGCCAAGTGTATGAACTGGGGGAGCTATCTGGAAGGGAGCTGACCAGTGCTCAGGAATGGGCTGCAGGTAGTGAGCAATTGTGTTGTGCACTACTTGTATTTCCTAGTTTTCACATTTCTCTCGCCTTCTCCTTTTTATTACAATTAGTAGTAGTAGTTTATTATTATCTTTTACTTTGTTAATAATTATCTTTTACTCAGTCATTAAACTGTTCTTATCTCAGTCAATGAGATCTATTTTCGTTTCTTTCCTGATTCCCCATCCCATTGGTGAAGGGGGGAAGGGAAAGTGCAAGAGGGGATCCTTTCCTTCTAGTGGTGCGAGGTCTGCTGCATGCACTTCAGGGATGGTAGAGACTGTTCTCCACCAGTCAATCTCCTTCTCAGAGCCCCTGATACTTTTTAACCTTTGTACCCCTTCTTTAGCTCTGCCACCAGGCTGAGCAGCTTATCCACCTGGCCACACCCCACAGGAGTCACCTCTCCTGCCATCCAGTGCCACTGCCTGCCCCTGGCACGCTCTGTATCCTGACACCTGGAGGTTTTCACGGCAGCTCCGCTGGTGTCAGCTCCAGAGCAGGTTTGCTGGAGTAGCCTTGCGGTCTGTTCAATGACACTGAGATGTGAGCCATACCCAAGGGAGAATTCCAACAACAGATTAGTAGGAACTCAATAGGCAAACTCCAATTCAAATAACTGAATTTCTCCTTTGCATTTAATACAAAAATAGATCAAGGTTAGACAATAGTTATTTTTCCCTTCTCACTGAAGTTTGCTCACCTTACTAAGGTTCATGACTAAACTAGTATGCTGTATGTATTTCCAACATAGCATAATTTATTAATATTAGCACCTATTGTTAGAAGAAATAAGCTTTTGACTTTTGAGAAATACAACAGCCTGCTTCCTTGATAAAAAGCATGTCACGAGTGCTTCACCCTTAACCCCTGTGAGTCAAATCACTTCCAAATTCTAAATCTTGATCCTGAAACACTGGTATAAAAAAATTTGACAGATAACCATTAATTACCTATGAAAAGAACTGTCCTTTTGAGATTTTGTACACAATGTATGTTCACAATATTTCATCCTCAAATGATATATAAGGAAAATAGCAAGACATGCCTTTAGTAATTTTAAATGAAGCCTACAGAACATCCCATCTAAACAAATAGAAGGAGATTAATAGGAGGCAAGTAGGATCTGTAAAGCTGTGTATGTGCATAGGTTCTTAATGGTGTGTACAGCCTTGCAGCTAAATGTGGCTGAACACAAGAGACACAACATACTGCAAATCATTTCAAGGGAAATTGTAGCAGTAATCAAAGCCAAGATAATAAAATGTGAGAGAGACAAAGGAATTAAGATAGGAACTCTCAGGGGGAAAAACAACTGTATAAAGGATAAAGTTTCTTAATTCAGACATAATACAGTAATGGACAGCCTTCAAATGATTTAGCTAGCTAGAAGCAATGAATTTGATTTTTGAGGATAAATTGTAGTAATTATCTCCAAAAGGACAGAGTGAATAACCATCCTGAAGTTTTCTACATGATATTATGGGAGCAAATGAATCAGGCATACGCTTGTGATGTGGTGCCAGTGGGGGAGGGGAGAGACACCAGATGTTCCTTAAGAAGCAAGATTTAACAAGAAAGAAAAAACAGAACTTCCTCCTACTAAGATCAACATAATTCTTCTGGGTTTTCATTCAAAAGAAAATTTCAGGAATGTCCTGCACAAATTTAGGTGGCTCAGGAAAAGGTATGTACAAAAGGCTTTCATATGCTTACTTAAGGGAAACAACCACAAAAAAAAAAAAAAAAAAACAAAACAAACAGGTAGCAAAGACTGGAACAGAATTCAGTCCTTTCTTAACTAATCCTTAATCCTACAATGCACTGCCTAAGCAGGAGCAAGTAAAATAGAAAATCAGTAATTCTTATTAGAATAAAAATTTTGCAATCAAAAGGATCAACTGTTGCCATTAGCCTTATTCTGGTTCAAGATGAATTCTAATGATATTTTGGACTCATTTTTCTAGTAAATATCACTGTACTTTAGATGGCATTTCTATATAGAACTGACTTAAGCCTGTGTTTTCCAGGTGTCTGAGAAGAATAATTTTGTTCTAGTGAACTGAAAGCATCTTCTATCTTACATATCTTCAGGTCTTAAGGTTGCAATGAAAACACATAACCCATTACTAAAAGCCATAATGTAGTTTGAATTGTAAACTGATTTGGTGCCAACCAAGCATAATGAGAGCATGTGACAATCAGTTAATTATTTCTTCAAACATACAGCACCAGTTCATTATATCACTCTAAAGACATTATTAATTTGAAGATTTTTAATGTTATTACCCCAAGGACTGTGGATTTCTACAGTATGTGGCTTTTCCTATAAAAATGAGGAATACAGTCTGTCATGAGGTGCTGAGATATTGAGCTAAAAACATTTTTCCTGTTAATGCTCTGAATCAGAGCTTTTGTTTGAAATCTGAGTTGCATTATGTTTGCTTAGTCTTCAGAAATGGTATAGAACCAGACTGAACTTTAACAACTGTATCCTACCAGAGGGTCATTCTATTTTATCATGAACCAGTCAATGTAAAAAATTATTGGAATGTGGTTCCATTGTTTCTGAGCAAGTATGAGCAACTTCCTTACAGGAATATATAATGCATTAACAACTTCATGAACATTTAGTGAGTGTTAAGGAAAAAATAGTTACACTTATATGGCAAACAGGGAAAAGAAAAGGATTAAGTCAATACCATTTGCTTGTGATTCAAATATCTGATGAATAATCATTTTTCTGAACACCTTTCACAAGCAATTATTTATCATTTGCATAATTTATGCCTCTGTGGAGGACAAGATTAGCTCGTAAATATTATGGAGTCATCAATTATACTGTCAGTGTTTTCCACATTCAGTTGCAAAACACATGACGAAAGAAAAAATATGTTAGTGAATTGATGACACAAAGACAGAAGATGTGTCTCCTGAAAACTGACTCTGTTCAGCAAGTGCCATAACTAGTAAACATCCTTAGACTGCATGGGTGTTTCTATGAACATGTATTCATACCCCCTGGGGTCCAAATTCAATTTCATAAAACTCCCTGAAAGAACAGAATGTTCTGTTTATAGTAAGATACTACTGACCAGATAAATATGAACTGAAGACCTGGAGGTCATTTCATGTTTATTTGATAAGGTAGTCTATATAAAGAGCTGAGCAATTGCAGCTGAAACTAAAGTTCTTCCATAAACATGGAGAAGTCCCCATATGATGTGCCATTGTTCTCGAGGCCATATTTGAAAACTTCCATGTTGATATCACTGATATTCTAACAAATGTTGACATGTTATTGTAGAATGGAGCATTTCAAGATCCAAACATAAGTATACTTTGGGAAAACAAGAAAAAAAGCCTATTTAGTCTTAGAATATTAATTTTTGTAATGCTAATTCTTTTGCTGTTTTATGAAAGAAAAAAAGAAGCATAAAAGCAATTTGGACTATGATTCTATAATTTTGCAGAGATGCTGGGTAACTGCAGCAGGAAAGCTTGTCAGTTACCTGAATCTCTGAAAATTCAGACCATATGCAGCTGAAATTGGGTACACCCAAAAGTGTCAAAAAATTGTGGCATGTTTTTGAAATCTTATAAAAATATTTTGCAAGCTGAGGTTAAGTGGAGTAAAATTCCCTTAATTTATAGTCACTTCTGCAGGATTTCATATGCTTAGTATGCATTCCTGTAACTATGCTATGCATGCCAGTACAGTACACTTGTGAATCAATTAACATTTTTCATATATGTGTTACAGTATGCCCCAGATTTGATTGTGTGTTTTATTTGCATGGTGTTTCTATCTTTACTATCTAAATTCAAATTGTTGTTTGAAGATTTTTGAAATCTGGCTAGAAAAGCAGAAATTCCTTTGTCCTTCAAGGGGAAATGGACTTGTTGGGCTGTCTTAATGATAAACAGTCTCTCTTGGATTAGATTAGATACCAAACAAACAAAGCTATAACATTTATGTATTCAACTTCTTGGTAAGAAGACAAAATCACACAGTGAATGTTACAGTACTTAGCTATTATGAAATTAAACATAAGGAGCAGGGCATCTTTTGATGCTAAAATATATTGTAAGGGTAAGCTGAGATGGCCAAATGTTCTCCTCAGCCTGGAGAAACCTCTTATCTAGGTGTGGTATCTTTATTTTATATAGCTTCTTAAGAAATTAAATATTTATTGAGCCATATTTGAAATACAAACTCAGCAGGCACTTGATTCTGTTTCCTACTAAGAAAACAACTCTCCTAAAAGAGATGTTATGGCTTCCTGTCTTTTTCAGTGTTATTTCAAAAGTAATTGTATACAAAAAATAACCTACACTTGAAGTATCCTTGTCCAGAATCGGGGACTGCCAAATTCCCTTGTTACCCATGTTTATTCTGTCTTGTCCCCTCAGAGTGACATTTTCTGCTGAACAGGGAACAGCAACAATGGTCAAGGCAGAGAATGGGCCCCATGTCATTTCAATCTTACAGGGAGTTGGTTAGTAAAATCAGAATTATACCCCTACCTGCTGAAGTCTGAAATTTCAGGTTTGCCATTTCTGAAGCTAGAATGCAGATGGGAGATCCTTTCTTATTTAGTGCCTAATCTGAAAAGAGGATGTGGTCTGTGAAACCTTATGAACAGCCACACCTAGTCCACAGTTCTCTGTGAAGAACCTGTTTTCAACACACCTATTTACTTAGTGTCACCTACTGGTTATCTCTTTTCAAATTCTCCCAAGATTGTACTGATACCGAATTTCCCTTTGGAATAAACTGAACATTCTTAATCACAAAAATAGATCTGTGCAAATGTTTTTGCTTCTGGAACTGTGTCCTTCCATACTTCATCATTCAAATTAGTTTGTTCCTAGGGAAATAGGCCTGAGTATGTGGGAGTTCTTCATGCCTGTGTTCTGGTCCCTCCTTCAGGGACTGTATGCGCATTCTGCATTCTGCTTAATTTTACTAAAACAGCATTGGAAACAGAGTGCAGTACAGTTTTCTGTGTCTTAAGAGTTTATCTTTTTCACAAGGAAACAAAACCCCAAACAAATCCTGAATTATTTTACATTACTAAAAATAGATTTCATTAAAAATCAACAAAGAGGTTAGGCTTTTAAGAAGTTCTAGTTCAAATTCATATTTTTGCCAATTATGGGTTTTGCAACCACATAAAGAGTAGTGTCTTGACCAGAGGAGGTAGTCTAGAATGCCTGACAAAGGCATGCAGCATCCCCATAGTGTTACGTGACAGTCAGTGCCTCCAGAATGACTAAGGAACCTTAAATGGGGCATTTGGTTCAAGCTGCCAGAATCACATACTTGCCAAGAGGCTGTTTATATACAAATGAATGCTAATTGCCAAATGACTGACCCCAAGACTGTCACCTTGGAAAGAATGTACAAACCTCCTTTCTCACAAACTAGAGTGAGGGGTTTGTGTTAGTGCCTGGTGCACTTTTGCCTGCAGCTCGGTCGCACTGTGAATTTGGCAAGACATATTGCAAGAGGCCCATATCCTGCACACCAGGCATGTGAACTGGCCCTGCCCTGAGGAAGTTGAACAGCATCTGCTGGCATTTTGCTGGATTAGTTGCTACAATTTGCACTTTCACAAGCAACAAATCTGTCCCTGATATCGCTACCACTTGCTAAGGTTTAATCTTTTTATTCTCCTATGAAATATTTTTATATATAACTGTATGTTCAGACTTTGGAAATACTCTGACAACATTGTGTTCTTTTCTATCTGACCAAAATGGATCCCTGTTCTCTTTGCAATCTTTTAGGATGCAGCTCAATCAGCTTCCAGCTGCTCTGGTTTAAGATTTGGAGATCTAGCTACAGGACCAGGTTGTGCAACAGATTAGCATAAAATGTTATTAAATATTACATAGTAAACGCAAACATATTCTGTGAAACACTTCTGTAGCTATTGTTCGTGGGTTTGTGTATAATCCAGTATGAAGGCATCTCTATTTGTGCCACAATCTGACTTTTTACTTTGAGCTAATATACAATAACACTGAAGACACAGATGCTGGCATGAAACTTCCTCTCTCTTCCTCCCTCTCTTTCTGCTCTCCCAAGCCACTTAGACTCATCAGTTGTTTTGCAGCTTGTGCTACTACAGCTCTTTACACACAATTCAAACAGATCTAGAGATCTAACTGAGAATAATTGTACCCTCAAAACAAAATAATAACAAATTACCAAAAAAAGTTTCGTTAGTTTTAACTAAACTAAAAGGTATTTTTAAATTGATCAGCTTTACACACAGTTCATTCCCCTGCCAAATGAATCCTTATGCTTACACTCACAGCATGGAAGCAGAAACAAGCAATTAAAAGCAGGTAGGACCAGTTCCTTTTTCTGGAGGGACAGTTTAAAGTGGCTGAGTTACAGAGATAATTCTTTCTCCACTGATACCACAGGCCAGAAGATAAACCCAGAAGAGATTCTTGTTGCACATTTAGATCAAACACAGATTTATTAGTCCTCCTCAGCAAAATCCTGTCTCTTTCCAGACATTTTGAGGACAGAAACATAGAATGATCTGTAAAGGTGTTCAAGACGAATAAAAGTGGAAAAAAATTACAAATATTGTAGAACCCATTTATATCTGGTTTAGCTTTACGGTAAAAGGGATACACATTGCTTAAGTATGGGGTGTTCATGTTGCTCCTACCACTTAAAAGGGATGCTGCAAAGGTTTTCACATGGAAATATAGGGTACAATCTTAAGTATCAGTGCATAAGGTTTTTAAAGTGACACTGGATTAAGTCTGGTCAGTTTTCAGAGCAGAGATCTTTGTTAAAAATCTTGCTAGCACAGGTGTGATTCAACTAAGGCATAGCCAAGTTAAAACAGTATCTTAAAGCCCATACTACTGGATATTTGATGATACCTACTGAAGTATCATAGAATGGTTTGGGTTGGAAGGGTCCTTAAAGGTCATTTAATTCCAGCCTCCCTGTCATGGGCAGAGACACCTTCCACTACACCAGGTTGCTCAAAGCTCTGTCCACCCTGGCTTGGAACAATTCCATGGATGGAGCATCCACCTCTCTGGGCAACCTGTTTCAGTGCCTCACCGCTCACAGTAAAGAATTTCTTCCTAATATCTAAACCTGACCTCTTTCAATTTAAAGCCATTACTCCTTGTAAAAATTCCCTCTCCAACACTCTTGTAGATCCCCTGTAGATAACGGAAGATGCTTTAAGGTCTCCTGTAGCCTCTTCTTCTCCAGACTGCACCCCAGCCCTCTCTGTCTTTATAGAAGAGGTGCTTCAGCCCTCAGATAATCTTTGTGGCTCTCCTACGCACTGGTTCAAGCAGGTCCCCATTGGTGTTGGGAGCCCCAGAGCAGAATGCAGTGCCCCAGGTGGCTGCTCCAGGTGGGAGAGCAGAGCAGAGGGGGAGAAACCCCTCCCTCAACCAGCTGGCCACACTTCCCTTGATGCAGCCCAGGATACAGTTGGCTTTCTGGGCTGCAAGTGTGCATTGATAGGTCATGCTGAGCCCCTCATCAACCAACCCCCCAAGTCCTTCTCACCAGTGCTTCTCTTTGCTCAGCCTGTTTTTGTGCTTGGGATTACCCTGACCCAGGGACAGGACCTCATAACTGACCTGTTGAACTTCATGAGTTTTGTATGGGCCAACTTCTCAAGGTCCCTCTGGATGGCAGGTAATATAGCTCTGACAATGTTCTTCACAACTTAATAAAAGTGTAACATTAATTCTTGTACTACAGTAATGCCTTGAAATTTTATCAGTAGTTTATGAGTGTCACGTATCTTAAAGAGTACTGTTACTTTTCTGAGCATTGATACCTAAATCTTGATTTTATAGTTAAAACAGTTTAACTGAAGAATTTCTTCTTGCTAAGTAAAAACATTGCTAAACGGATGCTTTTGAGTATAGACAATGATTTTCAATACTATGAAAGAAAAACACATTTCAGTAAGAAGTGGTCTTTTTATAGTTCAGTAGGACTACTTGTGAGGAAAGCAGGTAAAAGTAGCTAAAATAAATTCATAATTATAAAACATTTACCTTGAATATGTCACCAAAATGCTGTCTGAATCTGAATTCACAGACTCTATTACTGCAATATTATGAAACAACACTGCCTCAAGCTGCACCAGGGGAAGTTTAGATTGGATGTTAGTAAAAATTTCTTCATCAAAAGGGTTGTCAAGCCTTGGAACAGGCTGCCTATGGAAGAGTTTGCCTCTGTAAAGGGTGTGGCACTTAGAAACATGGTTTATTGGCGGACTTGGCAGTACTGGGTTAACTGTTGGACTTGATGATCTAAAAGGTCTTTTCTAACCTAAGCAATTTTATGGTTCTATAAATATAAACCTGAAAGAGGAAAAAAAAAAAGGACTATTTCAAACCACAGAAAAAATACATGAAATCAGTACAATAGCAGGTATTTGGTAGGAATACTGGTGGGCAACTGATCTGGAAGTTTTAAATGGGATGATCACCACATTTGTAAACTCATTTCTCACACAAAGATGTAATTGATTTTGTCTAAAATAGAATCAGCAGGGGAAAAGACCAGTCATAACTTCTTCATGGCAGAAACCCTGTTAAAAAATGATAACTAATTACACTCCTTAGGGCAAGAAATATCTGGTTGGCAGAGCTGTTTATATTCTAAACATCTAGTGGTACTTAGACCATGCAGTGACTCTACAGTTCCAGATTTATTCACTAGCCTTGGAACAGACAGATTACTCATCCATTTCTACTGGCAGATCTTGGGGAAAGGAAGGAGGAGCTAAATCTGTCAAAATTTTCTTGTTCTCTTTTACTGAAAGGTTTTATTTGAAAAAAGTCTTGAACATCATTATTATCTGAGCAAGATCTGATTTGAGGAGTAGAAAGGTTGATTTGAGTGTACTGTTTAAATCAAGAAACCCTCAGAAATCAGCACTCTAGAATTCTGACATTAAACTCTGATTTAATTGAGCAGCTGCTACAAGTGAATAGGAGTTGAAATAGCTCAGCACTTTGACTATTCTGCATGTACACAATAGATTTGGCTCAACAAGAGCACTTTTTATTAAACAATCCTTTCATTTGCAGGCTAGATGCAGCATATAATTGTATCATGCTCATATTAGAATATAAGCTCATTAGCTTACAGTTCTATGTTCTCAAGGTCTATGGCACAGGTATAAATATCATTATAAGGCTGTTCTTTCAGCCTCAATATGTGCAGAGCACATCACAAGGCAGATCTTAATAATGAGAGTCAATGCCTTAGGTATTTCTTTTTCTGTGAAACTATTGGATCACGTTTTGATTAGTTTATTTTTTCAAAACTTAAAAAGTTCCAAGAATTATGGGGATGAAGAATGCAAAGTTACAAATGAATACCACAAATCAAATGTCTTCTTCAGAAAGAAAGAAAAAGGGTATACCTATTAAGTTTTGCTGGAAGTCCAAAGTGTCCCAGTCGGTTCAAAGGTTGAGTCGGGTATCGATGCTGGCAAACACTCAAAGGAGGGCACCGGGACATGTCTGGTTGGCACAAGCAAAGATGACGGCATCCCACGGCAGGGACCCTCGGAGGGGTCCAGAACAGCAAAACCACTCAGTGTCACGGCTGGTCCTGTTCTACACTTACAGTGGATAAACATCTTCGTATCCACGACTGTGAAAAGATTTAAAAGTAAGCGACTGCTTTGATTTTCACGCTTGGGAACGCTGAAACAGGAAAGCTTAAAGTTCATAGAAAGCGTTGCAGCACATGGTTGCAAAGCACTGCGCTTCCACGAAACAGAACCGGCTCCCCGGGCTGCGGGTGAGCCCACGCAGATGTGCAGGTGGCCGTGAGCCTGCCCGAGGCCAGAAGGAAGCGGTGTCCCGGTTGTCCCGGGGTCGGAGCGCCCGGCAGCTGCCCCGGCCCGACCCCGCCCGCGCCCCGCGGCGGCGTTGCGGCCCCTTTAAAAGGGGGCGGGGCCGCCCCAAAGTTTGCCCAAGTTGCGGCGCGGGCCGGCGGCGCGCGGGTCCCGGCCCGGCCATGGCGCCCCCCGGCCCCTAGCGCCGCCATGGACTCGCTGACCTCCCTCACCGGCAAGGGCGGCCGCCTGCTCCGCGGCACCGCCAGCCGCCTCTGGGGCGCCGTGCCCGGCGGCCTTCGCCACGGCCGCTGCCAGGACGGCCGGAGCCGCGGGGAGCCGGGCCCCGCCAAACCGACGCAAGGTACCGCTGGGGAAGGGGCCGAGGGCGCGGGGCTGGCCGGGGGTAACTGCGGGCAATGGGCCTCGGCCTCCCTGGGCAGCGCGCTCGGCTCCTCGCCCCTTGCGAGCCTTCTCGGAGTGCGCCTGGGGAGGCGAGAGAGAGTGCGAGCAGCAGGGGCACGGGGTCCCTTCTCAGCCGGGAGCGGCCCCGCCGTGTCCCGGGCTCGCAGCCGAGCCTGTCGGGGCCAGCCGCTGCCGCCGGCTCCCAGCGGCAGTTCGGGCAGGGAGGGGAAGGGGCGCCGGGCCGGCACATGGGCCGGGCGCTGCCGGCGCCGCGGAGCGGTTACACCGGGGCTGCCTCCAACAGTAGAAAACCGAGTGAACGTCCTCCTGATTTCCGTGACACAACTCAAACTTCCTTTATTAACGTCCCTTTCTGGCATTTTTGCAGACCAGGGTGTAGGAAAGCAACTGGAGCACAAGCTCCTCGATTGGTGATGGCCTTTGTCTCCGGGGTTGCCTCTGCCTCTCGGGTGCTCCTGAGGAGCAGGCAGCATTCCTGGGAAGTAGGCTCGGGATGCTAAGGGCAGAAGTAGTACCTCTGCCGCTCAGTGGCCAAACACGTCACTCAGGAGACTGTAGCAGGTGACTCCTTGTCCTGTGCCTGGGAGGAAGAGGGCTGCTGCTGCCACCCCTTTTCTTGGTAATGCTGTTGGTATAGGTATTGTAAGTATCTGATGCGAGCACTTATACTGGCAAGAAATACCATGAAAACTGGAGAAGTGAATGCACACACCCTTGTTTATGCAGAAGAGGAGCACGCAGTGAGAACTCTAGAGAGGTAATGTTATTGATTGGGAGATAAAAACAAGTCATGACATAACTAGTAAGAGCAGCATGATCTAATGATTGCTTGGAAAGAAAACAACATATGAAGCTAAGTGTATGAAAGTGCTTTGTAATAAATAAAGAGGAGTATACAAGGAATAGTAAATATTTTCATTTTCTTCCCTGTTTTGAGAAGCTCTGTGTGAAGTGGATGAATGAATGTTATAGTCTCTAGGTGAGGTTGAAGTCAGATCTCTACTGAAATGAAATATTAAAACACATTAAGTTTCTTTGTTATTGTAGATTATTATGTAAAATAGTTGTTTTCCTTGAAGGGAAACTGGGTCTGCTGCTCAGTGTGGTAGGCAAGGTAATAGGAATGCCCATGCAGCCAATCAGATGTAGATGGTTTTTCCTTGTGTGCATTGGGTCACAGTTCTTGCTCAGAAAGGATAATTGGTAACTAGCTATATTTGCAGTGCCACTCTTTATTTATTTTATGTCTCTCTCCACAACATACACAGAGAGTGGTAGAGACAATAACTTGTTTTTCAGCAGTGAAATGAAGTACATTGAATAAGGCCTCTGCAAACAGTTAAAGACTTTTTGACAAAGATTACTTACACTCTTTTACGGAACCAAAACAGCAGTAAAATATTTTAGCATCTTCTGGTCTTTTAATAATTTACAATGCCTTGTGTTCAACTGTTACTATGAAGCGTCTCCTGTAATACATGGGATTTCTTGGAGGGAAAGGCTCTATTTTTTCACCTCTTCTTCTGGGAGAAAGGCTTAACTTAGACTGCATTGTAATGTTCTGGGCTTTTATTCCTCTAGCTTTGAGCAGAAAATGTATCTTCTCAGATGCTTTCATAATGTAATGCTTAAAATTTGTGTTAATGACAAGTTCTAAAATTCAGGGTGAATTTCTGTGTATATGGACTTTAATGCACCTTTTTCCTCACCTAGGTGAAGTATGTGCAAGGCAAGCAGACCTTGACCCTCCTGTGCTGTCTTCCCCTTCATAGAATTTCTATCAGTTATGGGCAGAAACAAATCCTTGTAACTATAGAATTCTTCTGTCAAGCATTTTGCTGGCTTTCACAAACTACCTGTGCCCTGATAATGGGTGCTGTGGAAGCTGTAACAATGATTACAATGCTTCATTTGAAATCAAACCTCTGTTTTAATTAGAGATGGGTCCCCTGGCATTAGCTTAAGACTTAATGGTAGATTCTAAATGTTCCAAATGCTTAGTCTCTGCAGTGTTCTGAATCCAGGCCCACCTCTTACTGTAGTTTTTTTCTTCTCTGCTTAAAGCTTTCAGTGTTTTGGGATTTTTTTTTTTTGAGTGGTTCAGTTGAGACTGCATTACTTGTTAAGAGAATAGTTCTTCATTAATGCCTTAAAACCATGTTTCAACTTACTTGAAACAAAAGCCAACCTATTTTAGCTTCTACAATGCAGTATCTCAGTCAAATGTAATATTAGTAATTTTACCTTTACTGTTTTCTTGCTTGTATTTTTGAACAATTGAACAACTTTTCTATCAGGTCTTCAGGTTCAGGGAGGCAAATGCTGTGTTTTAAATCATTTCTTTGGACACATGCAGAACAGCCCACAGTATTTCTTGGTAGGGAGAAAGGACGCACTGGAAGACTGAGCAATGCCATAGGAGGCTGTAAACCTGTTTATCCAGTTTACATTGTGTCAGCAGCCTAGACAGTGAAAGAAGTTTATAAAGATTTTTTTTGTCTTTTGGTGGTTGTGATGGAGGATAAAAATGCAAATATAATCAGAAAGACAAGAGAAAATATCTGGCTTTAGTAAAGACACTCTCAATTTCAGAGTGTAAAGTTTTTGTTTTGTTAAAAAGACCTGTAAGCTTTGAAATTATAACTTCTAAATGTAATCTATTGATAATAGATTATAGGATGAGCTAATATGTATGTATTCAAGCTAATATGTATGTATTCAAGTCTGGATTTACCTAGAAACTTCAGCTAGAGCAGTATCGTTTCCTTGATTATTGTTATGTACTATAGATGTTAGCATGCTGAAGTTGTATGTGGTTTTAGTTGCTTTAAGATACAACTCAAGGCTTTAGGGAATGTATGATTAAGAATTATCATAGAATATGAATAGAATTATTCATAACCGAAGGTTCAGTTTAGTTTGAGTTTCATCTATACAAACCTTTTACTTAAGTGAGCCAACAGCACATCCCGTAGTTCAATCTGCTGTTTGCTTTGCTGCATAAGAAGAGTGTGACCAGCAGTGAGGGACATGGTTTTACTTCTTCTGTGACACTGCTGAGGCTATATATTGAATGTGCTCTTTGGTTTGTGTTCCACTGTTAAGGAGAGCTGCTGGGGAGCTACAGAGGGTCCAGACAGTTATTTAGGGGCACAGGACATATGACTTGTGAGGAGAGGTTGAGGGAGCTGGGCTTTGGTGATTGCAGAGGGAAACCAAGGCAACTTAGTGGCAATCTAATAATGACTGCATCTACCTAGAGAGACACACTCTTCTCAGTGCTAAGAGATCAAAGAGGAGCAGCAGCGATGAGTTTGAGCTTGGGAGGTTCAAATTGGGCAATAGAAAAAACTTCACACAGAGTGGTCCATCCCTGGGACAGCTTTAAGCTGACCTGATTTGATGTTGACAATAATTCTACTTCAAACTGGAGGCTGGAGTAAATGTATTCAAGAGGCTTTGCTTCTGAATAAGCCTTTCATTCTGGGAGGATATACTTTCGTACCTGGAGTCTTATGCTTCTTACCTCCTAGAAATTTTCACCTCCCTTCGTGGAGAGAGACAATGATACACTGCATGGGTGGTGCTGACTTGCTGCAGTGTGTCTTTCACGAAGTAGAGAAGTTAAATAAAAACCAGTGATTCAGAGACTCCTCTCAACCAGTCTGTCAAGGAAGTTCTTATGGCTGCCTTCTATTGAAACTTTTGTTGTTGTTGTTTTTCTCCCTCAGGTTCAACTTGATTGTTCAGTTCTGAACCATCTGGCCTGTGGGCTTATTTACATTTCTTTCATACCAGCTTTGGAGTCTTGATTGGTAAGGCTACCATACACAGTATATCCAGTAAACTGTGTGGCTTGTCACTCCTCCGTTCTATGGTCAAGGTAGCAGCAGTACATTAGAACGATAAATGTGCAGTGCCAACTTATAATACATTTCTCAAATCTTGCTGTAAAAGGTAGTATCTTTTTTTCTAAAAATCTGTCTTGGAATAAAACAAATATAAGAATAAGGCAGGTTTTCTGCTTTCATCTTTATTCAGTACCTCATTTTTAAGAAATTACCAGGTGTATTATAAAGTAGGAAAGAGGATTCAAACTGGGGAGATGCACTTCTGTGAGTTTTCTTGTACACACTGTTCTGGATGAAGCACATATGAAATGTACCAACACCCTTTACAAAGACGCTAATGCTTTGCTTCCATGGCCGAAAATAATTCAGTTGGTACAGGCATAAGAAGCAAATGTGATCTTGGAATGTATCAGGCTGGTGACTCAGTCATCTTGTGATATGTTAATGTATGCACAAGCTCTTCTTCAGACTTCTGTGCTACTAGTGTACAGGATTTCTTGAGTATTCCCTTGATGCATGTGATGTTAAATAATCTTTTACTTCAGGTTCTGCTTTGTACTATTGCATCTTTCCCTGCTTTTATTCCTCCAAGCTTTGGAACTTCAGAATTCATTGCGTCCTTTTACACAGCATTTGCTGTTGATTGTCCTTTTGAATTTGTCTGCTGAGGTGCAATTAAACTGTGTTAAAAACTACTCCTTTGGGATTTCATTAATATACCTCTCCATTCTCCTGATTTGTATTTTTCTCCTCTTCACTGAATCTTTTACATATTTCACAATTCTTTATCCAGTTTTTGCTGTTCAGCAGGATTCTGATGTATCAAATGTTTAACTGAAGTTTAGTTTATATATTAATCTAGCAGATGACTGAAACATATTTTGTTCTGGTATCCTTTGACTGTATTGCATTTTTGTTTT